TTAGAAAACTCGTGACTGACTGCTTTTATATCAGCAAGGTCTGTGACTTCATGTCATTAGCAGTTTGGTTAATCTTGCATGTTTCAAGCCATCTTGCAGCACTGTATTTTAGTCAAAAATCTAAAGGTACTTTTCTGAACTTCTGAATGTTTTAAACTTGGTTTACATACCAAGTAGGAATAAAGAGTTGAAATAACCCAATTCGGCATTAAATGGAAAATGCTAAAATCTTTGACATGAGGATACTAAACTATCTTGTTTCTACACATTTGATTTAGAAAAAGAGTTGTCAGCATTCTTAAACTGAGATTGTTTATTTTACTTTGGTGACTTTCCTTCATACACTGGGTAAACTGGAGGTCTCCCATTAACCTTTTTCCACCTTCAAGGTTATTTCTTACTGATTTGATCTGGCAATCAGTTTGCCTGTACCTGTGGTTGTCAGCAAAGGAGTCAGAAGAAAAGTGGCCCTTACTTTGTAAGGAACCTTGTATCTGTCTCCTACCCTGCAAGTTTTGTTCAGCCCATGTTGCTTGGAGTACATCTCTGCACAGGGGACAGGCTGAGGAAAATTTCCTGCAACCTTCTGGCCAACTGCACTGATGACCTTGCACCCTGTGAAGTGTTAAAGTAGACAGGGGAGAAAATGTCTAAGGAAACATGTTGCATATTGTAAGAAATATGCTGTGACTCTTTATACTTTTTAACAAGTTTGGATCAGGTTTGTAGCTAGTTCCACTGGGCTATTCCACCCCTGCATTTGTGTAAAAGGAGAAAGATTTTAGCAAAATGAAGAAAGCTGTAGTGTGGGTGGACCCCAGTACACTCAATGTAAGAGCAATCTCCGTTCTAATGTATGATAACTGAGTATAAAATTATGCTTATTTCATTTTGGTATTCCTGAGTATAATCTTAATTCCCTGGCACAGTATTTATTTTTAAGGGACATAACTCAAATTAACACATTTGTGTATGTGTAAGTAGGCCAAGGCTTCAAGTTTTTACTGTGTATCTCTTGAACTAGCGTATTTCCAGATAAATTACTTTTTCTAGTATTCTTGTGTCTAGTGATCATCCTTATGGATGGAGTTGATTTAGGCTCAATTTTAGTGGATGAAAAAAACTCTTTTCCTGCACTAACAAGCATTTTGTTTTTCACTTTTGTTGTGTTTGAATTAATAAAAAAAAGAAAACCCAAACCAAAACCAGTTCTTAAGACTCAGTGATGCTGAAGTGTAGTTCAAGTTGATAATTTTTGCAAGATGTGCAGATGAGCAGCAATGAAATTATTATTTAGATTTGGAAGTTTAAAGATCAGGGCTTCCCCCACAAACCACATGGCCGAGTGGCACTGAGGAACCATAAAAATTCTGCTCTTAGGAGCTGTATTCCTTTCACCTAGCTATAAGTAGCTAAAGGATACTGTCCCTGATGGTGTTGTCAAGACCTCCTCTGGTTCTGCTCCTGGGGTAAGTTGGGCATGCCTAGCTCCCAGTGTGTTCAGAGCAAACTCAGTTGTCATTGTTCAATAGCTCCTGTATCCTGTAGCCCTTCTGTAACAGGATATTGTTATCTGCCTTCTTTTTGCTTTAAAGAAGATGCATTGTCACTGTTGTCATAGAGTCAGGCTTTGAAATAGATTTCACAGTCTTTACGTGTCAAGATGAAGGCTGCAAATTATCTTCACAAGGAGACAAGTGAAGTTTTAAATATTAATATTGTAAGTTTGTTCTGATTTGTCTATGCATCAGAAGTTTAGTGAGTTTTTGTTAGGGTTGGAATTACCCCACTGGTAAAAAAAAATGGCACATTTTTTGAAGAAGAGGTTTATTTAGAAAGCTTTCTGTAGGATCTGTGCTGCACTGAAACGTCTTTCTAGCTATACTTTCTCAGTTAATGATGTATAATGATGACTGAAAACTCAAGATATGCTTATACACCTTCCTCTTCTCAAGCATATTGAGAATATCCTTCATTTGCAGAGTGATCAGGAGACAAATTATTTGTGGGTTTGTTTGAATTACTTGAGAATGTTTAGGATTAAAAAGACAAGACAAGGGCCAGACAGGTTTAGCCAGGTAACAGCATATGAATACAAAAAATTCTTCTGAGGTGAAATGAAGAAGTTTCTATTTCATTTTTGAGCATTGGGTCAGGTAACTCAGAAACAAACAATGATACATCAGGAAGGGAAATTATTATATCAGGCAGCAGCATGTGTTTCCCAGATTAGGCTCCTTGAGCAAAATTAGATTAAGATTTTCTTTCATCATTCCAATTAAAATATTCTGCCCTTTTCGTTGTCTTAGGTTATTGTTGATGAATGACAGAGGAGTGCCTTGACTGTTGCTTCCAAAATATAATGAAGTTTGATGGTTTTCGGTGGAAGAGGTTATATATTTGCTGAATTTAAAGCAGCTGTAACAGAAACAGCAACTGCATATTTTGAAAGTTAAACTGTGCTCATGCATATATTAGATTGGATAGGTTTGAATCTTTAAATTAAACTTTTTTCTTTTAAACTTCCCTTCATTTTCTAGAGTTCTTATGTTTAAGATTTAAGATAACCACAAGTAACTTAGATTTCCATGCAAGAGGTCAACTGTATCTAATTAGTGGACTGCTGTTGTGTTGTGTGTTCAGAATGTTCCTGCTCACTTAGGAGGTAATTTTTGTTCACTGAGTTATCCAGGCAGTTCCCAGTAATGCTGTCTACAGAATGAGCTGCCTTTTGCACAGACAGAATTCATGCCCAACACAGAACGTCAATATCAGCTTGATATAAAGGGGAAGGTGTAATTTTGCAGTGCAGACACCCTAGAGTTCACTTTGCTAATCAAAACCAGAGGACTCTCCCAGAGCTTCAGTCTCTCTCAGAGTGAGATTTTATGCTGTTTAGATTCAATCCTGTCTGTGATGAAAGTTTAGGAAAGCATATGTAAATGTCAGTTACCAAATTCTTCCACGTACTCTCAAAAGACTGACTACTGACAGCACTGGGAATTTAACATTTGCACTCATGTGTTCTTGAGCAAGCAGTAACTGCATCTCTCTACCTGTAATGCTATGTTTGAGAAGTGTGGCTGTGCTTGTAGCAATCCTTATTATATTGCAAATATGCCTTTAGTGTGTTGCCTTATATACAAATTGTTTTCTGTACTTTGTCCTAGAGTAATGTGTATTATTCACTCCGTGGTTCTAGCAATATTCTCACAAGCTTATTATGCATGTCTGTAATTTATCACCAAATATGATCAGCAAAAATGTTTACTTGAATTTGAGTGAATTCCTGTTCACTTAAGGGCAAAATAAGGCAGCTTACCAACAGAATTTGGAAGGAATTGATACAAACCTTCAGTTACCATGTGGATAAAAAATGTAGGGACAGATGCCATTTCACAGGCAATGGCTGACAAGCATAGATATGCTTGACAATTTTCTATTAATAGCCTTTTCTATTTAAATAATTAAATTCCATGTCAGATGAAAATTGGTTCTTTTCTTCTGTTAGATTTTAGACATTGTTTAATTCTGAACAATAGACTCCATTTTCACACCTTGCTAATAATATTTACTTCTTGCGTTTACTTTTTTAGTTTGGACAATGACACTGGATTTGTATTCCTTAGGTTGTTAATATGTGATCTATAAAAACATGGAACATGGGAACCTCCAGACACTCTATGTATAAATAGCTTTTTTATGAGCAGTCAAGCTAAATTATTTTGTTTTCTTTTTTTCTTTTGGGTATGGATTTTTGTTCTTTATCCCAAGTACACCCCTGGTGACCCCAAATGCTGTTTGCTTTCCTGGCTCTGTATAACTCCCTTACTGGGCCAATTTAAGCACACCTGTGCCCAATGCTGGTTTGCTATTTGATAATGTGGGACATCTGACTTTAGGGGAAAAAGGGGTATGACAGAATTTTGTCTGTTACTCTGTTTCCACAGCACAGCCCAGCCACAAACTTTTAATGAAGTTTTTGGGAATCTATTAGGGCTAAAGAAGTGACATAGAAAAATTTTTTAAACTTTGAATAATAGAGTATAAAAGGCCCTGTAACACAGAGTTGTTCACATGGTGCATGTTGGTGATATAAGAAAAAAGAAAGAATTGTAATTTATTTCATCATAGTTACATTGAACATTTTGTGAAGCTAGATATTCAAAGAAGAAAGAAAGAAATTATCAAATCTGTAAACTTAAATTCTGAAATAGGAAAAAGAAACACTGGCCTTGTAAGCCAGTGACTCTACTTAAATATTCTTCGTTTTCCAGTGAAAGAGTTTTCTAGTCATAGTTCATAGAAAAGTAAGCCTTTGAGTTGGGCACAATTTCTAAAATATACAATTTCTAAAATCTAAAAATTGATCTGGAAAACTGAGCCAATGTAAAAATAGATACATAAAAAAATCAGAAAATTATTTTTTTTTTTTTTACCTACTCCCTTATTACCTACAAAGAAACCTTAGGTTTTTGGCTCTGCTGTCTCCAGGAATTACAACATGTTTTATTTTTTTTCCCCTTCTCAAAACAAAAGAAGGAATTTTAGCTTTGAACTTAAAAGCTCTATTTTGTTTTGAAAATTGTATTTGAGAACTCTATCAGTCCCCTAAAAGCCAGTATGTGTCTATTTTGCTTTTATGTGTGGTACAATACCATTAAAACAATTAAAACATGAAGTTTAATATCCAACAATGGTTTTTGACTAGTTTTTTTAGGTACTTTAACTAAATCTAACTTTAACTAAGTTGTTCTGCATTGCTGTTTCTTTCTCAAGTGTCCTTGAATACATGTTTTCTGCTGTTTGTCATGAATAAATTACTTGCAGTTTTAGCCTGTTCAATGAAATGATAGAATATAAATTAAAGAAAAATAGAAAGAGGGGACCTGTCAGTCTGAGAGATTTATCTAGGATTTCTTGGAGATTTACTTTAGGAAACAATTATGGATTTATTTATTCTTTTTATTTTTAAATTTGTTTTTTATTTCTCTATTTAGATGGAAGATGTCATAGCCCGCATGCAAGATGAGAAAAATGGGATTCCTATTCGGACAGTGAAAAGTTTTCTTTCCAAGATTCCCAGTGTCTTTTCTGGTAAGAGTCAAAGTGAATTTCATACTATTTTAAAGTTTTATGTGAGGGGATACTCTAGTGGGAAACACTTTTAAATAAGTACTGTTGAGAATTCACAGTCATCTGGTCTGGAGGAGACATTATTTATCCTTTGAATAGTTTAATTATAGAAGACTTTGATTTTTCTCTCAGATTGGACTTGGCTTACAAATAGATATTTTTGTCCTGAAAATTATGTGACGGGAATACTTAATTTACTACAAAAAGTTAATTATTTCAAACTGGCAATATTTTTATGGCAGGTCAGGTCTGGTTTTCAGCCAGCTTCCATAGCAAGTATGAATTTAGTGTATTGGCCAGTACATGAAGATAAGAAATTTCATAGCAGCAGAACAAAAGAAAAATCATCACCATAGAGTCAAGCCTCGTGTCTCCACACACGGAGAGTCCTCAACAACACTCTGCAAATGGTGCTGATGGGGCTGTGACATTTATTACAATGTTCATGACCTGCTTCTGTAGCCCAGTGCCTGAGCTTGTGAAACTAAGGCTGAGATCTTTGTGGTGATTTGCAAGACAGCTGTAAACTCTATAGCTGGTCAGGTCAGCACAGTCATAGACACAAATATCAGTCTATTTATTAATTAATTAGCATATAATTACTCTGCTATTTACCTAGATTTATGACAATTTATGCATTTGTGTATGTGGCTATATACTCCAGTGAGTATTGAGTTCCTTTGAAATAGATGTCATTGTTGAATCCAATTTTTCCATAATTTGTAAGAGGGTATCCTAATGCAGAAATTGCTATACAAGTTTCTGTGGTCCAGAACATCAAGAAAAATTCTATAGTTTAATTTTCAACCTTTGAAATTTTTTTATAGTGAATAATCCTGTCATAAAAAAGGATAGAGTCTTAAGAGTGAATGAAATTGCTTCCTGATTTTAGAAAATTAATTTTAGATTTTAGAAACTTACATAAACAATAGCCTCTGGAGCATGGACCTTTATTTTGCCATGAGTTAGTGCAGCATGGCATCTAACTGAAGAATTCATCAAGAATTCATTGTTAATCTCTGCCTTAATTTGTGTATAATAGATTTCAAAGTAGACTGACCAGACTGACCAAAATGTATTTTTTTTTTCAACTGGAATAGGCATCATACTTTTAAAGGTTGAGTTAGAATATATATACAGTTATACATAGCCGTTACTTATATACCAACTTTTCTATCAATGTGTTAACTTTATTAGCTTCAGGGGGAAATAAAAATCACAGGACAGTTCATTTTTTTTCTCTTTTCTGATTTTCTCTCTCAAATACCAGGGAGTACCAGTAATTTTTGCTGCACATGACTGAAACTCCCACCAGAGCAGCATAATTGTCATTTCAGTTCAATTATTCTACTTTCCTGTCAGTTCTCCGTCCTGAATGGAATATGAAAGCTTCAACTCTATGTCCTAAGTCACTAACATCATTTAATGTGCTAGGAGTTTGTATATGTAGCAAACAAATATCAGCTTAACTCTAAGCTGTTGATTTCTAGGAGACATGGGAATATGGTCTAAGGGTCATGACAACAATAATGCAAATATATTTAACAAAAAACTTATAGTACTTTTAATACCCTCAAAAGCATCAAAGTAGATGCTCTCTAAGTATATATATATATAGATATATACTTATATGCTCATATATTTTTAATATATATATATATGTGTGTATGTGTGTTGTGTGTGTCTATGCAAAAGATATCTTGTACACACCCTCTGTCCTGGATTATGCCCCATAAATACTGGAGCTTTGCAACTGTTTGGTAGTTGGTTTTCCTTTCCTTCCTTTCCTTGGGAGAAGCAAAAAAGAAACTACCACAGTGAAATCATGTTCCTTCAGGCACTTAGTAAAGACTACAAGTCCTTTAAACAACATGTAAAAGCTAAGGATGTCCATAAATTGTCTGTAGGAATAGGGTCTTATGTGATAATAGTATTGCTTCTAAAACCAGCAAATCAGAAACTAGTTGAAAGAGCAAATTTTTATTGTTGAATTACTGGCCATCTCTAAAGATGACTGCATTAGCAAAATCAGCCTGAGGAGTGGTATTTGAATTTCACGGAATGTTGTGATTGTAATAAATAGGATGATGTAACCATACTATCTCCTTCACTGAGTCATTCCTGAAATGTTTTCACAAGTAAAATATCAACAGAGAGAAACATTTGAAATACAGATATTTCCCTGTACACTATAAAGATTTTTCTTCTTCAGAAAAAATATAATCCTAAATTAAAGATTAGTCCACTTTGTGAAATTTTGAAAAGATGAGGAATAATTCTGCTTTATGTTGCATATATTCTATACATTCATAGAAAGCAAATAAAAATTTGAAACTTTTAAGGCTCAAAGGGAAAAAGTAGACAGGAGATTTTGCACCTTCTATCTGCATTTTGATGAACAAAGGAAGGATGTACTGTTTTTGTCTTCATGCTTTTGAAATGTTTTGGAGGAGTGAATAAGATAATGTATATAGACTTCTTGCTGGCCAGCAATAATGATTGCATGAAGGTTGTCATGTGCATTCTTTATTAACATGGATTAGAATATTAAGAATAAAGAGGACGTGATTTTCCTGGTCCATGGTTCACCTTTAGACCTGGAAATGGATAAAAAAAAACTTGCTTGAAATGATGAATTTAGGGACTCTGACATATGAATCATAGAGATTAGAAGGAGCTGTAAAATATAATTTTTATTTTTGCTAAGGAGGGATACAAGAAAATGCCAAAGATTTGCTGTTCGCTTCGAAGCAGAAAGAATCATTCAGAGTTTACTGACAAATCAATAGCTGAGGGTTTGTTTTGGAAGTCTTTGTGAGGTGGTGTGGGTGGTTTACCCAGTCCTAGTGCTGGAAGCTTCATAAGCTAATCAGAACATGAATATTTCATTAAGAAGATGTAGTGATGCTTATGGTCATTAAGGAATATCAGTGTGATTCTTCATAGAACTTTAAAGTGTGCAACACTTGGGTGGGCTTGCTGATGAAACCTGTGGAGAATGTGCCAGTTGAGTGGTGTGTAAGCTTGAGTGTGGAACATGAGAATTTTTATTAAGGAGCAGGGAGAATTATTGAGAAATGTAAGTTCAGTTAAAGAATACACACAGAGGGAGAATAAAGCCTTTACAAGAAAAACATGCTCATACTTGTTATTACTGGGTGTTTCTGATGCAGGGCTCATTGATCTTGGAATGTAGTCACAGCTTGAACTGACAAAAATAGGAGAAGGAGATCAGTAGAAAGGTGTGTTTTTAGCATCTCCTGTGTTAAAGAGGAAATGAAAACATTAGTTTACTTTTCACTGGAAAATATGACCCACGTGAAGTCTTTAGTTTTTTTCTCATTCTTGTAGCTGAAGCTGATATAGTATCTTTTCCATATAAATATTGTGTTTTCCCATTTGTTAGAAAGATTATTGCAGTTATTACATCAATTTTTTTGTTAAATGTTTGCAATTATTACATCCATTTTTTGTTAAATACTTTTCTTGATCTCAGAAAATGCTTATTTCCCTTTTACCTGGGAAATAATGAAAATAATGAGATATTGCATTTTGATTAGCAAATGTGTTAATATAACAATTAATTACCAGTAGCAGTTTGCTTCATAAAAAATTAAAGAATTGATGTGTTTAAACATAAAAAAATCCAAGTTAAAACAGAATGGCAGTCTCAGTAGCCTGGACAGATGTAGTAAGAGACTCCAGAGGAAAGCAGTGTTATAATCGCTCATCATTCTCGCAAATCGCAGGTGGGTGAGCCCAAGGAATGAGTCACGGGGGCTACCTGCAACAGTATTGCTTGTTATACAGAGGCAGGCAGCAAAAAATGAGGAGTACAGTGAGAATTGGATGACTCAGGGGACTAATAACAGGAGTTTCATCTGTCAGTAGTTGTCTTTTCCAGTTGAGTAATGAGTTGTTAACACCTGATGACTTCTCAGTGCTGCATGTGAAATTGCTTGATTGGTTTATCCACTTCAGTACTGGAGATTACCAACCTGAAGCACAAAATGAAATAGAAAGCTCTACTACTTGGTTCCACAAGAAAGCATAACACTTCAATCATCTGGTGCCTTTGGAGCAAAGTAATATTGCATTATAGGTAAATAAAAGGATTTTTGAATTTCTGTTTTTGAGAGATTTTTGAGAGTAAATGAACCATTTTGAAGAATCTGGGATTCCCAAATCCCAAGTCTTGGATTTTATAAGACCTTGTTTTTAACTTCAGTGTCTCTCATGCTGGGTTGATGACAGGTTCCTACTTTCTTGTTCTGTCCATTTCTTCATCTCTCTTTCCTTGCATTGTCCTAAAGTGTGATTTAATGATAGATTCATTGCTGATTTCTTTGTGCCAAATGAGTCTCTTGTTACTTGCAAACCAAGTCTTCAGTGTTAAAACTGGAAGCTCACTGCCTTGATGAGGTTCCACTCTTAGTGAAATGCTTTGATGAAAAGCTTGCTGTCAGTTCGTCGAGGACAAAAGCTGGATCGCTCCCTCTCCTGTGCCCTCTCAGATTGGCAGATTGGAGCAGGCACTTGCCATGTTTAGAGTTTCACTTTGCAAAGCAGAATTTTGAGGAAAAAAAGGTTAATAAACCTATATTCCCAAATGAATAGTTTGTCTGAAGTTATACCACCAGTCTCTTGCATTTGTAATTTTTTCAGAGTGACTGATTTGCATTAAAATGTTCATAATCTTTTGGGAGTGGATATTTTTTGTTCATGATTTTTAGAATCATGAGTAGAAGAGATTGACTAAGTGGAGCCATAAGACTGGACACACAGTCATTGCCAAGTATTGACATAATTAAGTGACTAATGAGTGATGGTTTTTATGCTTTACAGAAAACCAAAGTGGATATTTGAGTGCTGCCTGCAACCCTTCACCTTCTGTTTCAGTTTGTTTGCCTGGCTTGGCCTCGTGACTGGGATGGTTACTGAGGGTGATCTTAAGCTGCTTA